TTTATGCTTGTCGTCGCCAGTTGATGATGCCACCGTTCCAACGAAATGGTGAAACCTTTTGCTATTTCTGATCGATGAACGATTGTGGCTTCGATGTTCTTCACTTGTTTGATTTGACCTTGGATTGCGTTGCTATTAGAATTGGAGCTTGAATTGCTACCGGACTTTTCCAAGAAGAGATTTTTTGATCAAATCCAGTTGTTTTCTTGGGTTTTCTGATACGCAAGCCAAAAAAGATCATCAGAAACGCGAGGATCAACAATGATCCATCGAACAACAGTAGCGGAATATAGAAATTTCATTTCACGTTTTTGATTGATAACATAATAAAACAACCTCACACCCATCAGTTCGACCATCAACCTCCACTCACCGTAACTGTCACGCTCATCCTGCAAAATGAACCTCTTTTGCGATTTTCTTAGCAGACCTAAGGGTTTTTTTTGATAGGTTTTGGAGTTTTTTGATATCTCTAAAAAGCTCTTTTATCTTCTGGAAATCGCTCAAAAAAACCCCCAAAACTACTGAATTTATCAAAAAACTACAAGGATCCACCCCCAGACAGGTGGACTTTCCACGAAATTTCAAAACGTGTCAGGGCTTTTTGAGTGTTCTTCCTGTGGCTCTTTTAGGGTTTTATAATCGAACCCGACTCCTTCGTCGAATACCACGGTTTCTTGGCAGTTTTGTCGTTTTTTTTATGGTTTTGGGGCTTTTATGGTATGTCCGATGAAAAAACTCTTTTATCTTTGAAAACTAACTGAAAAATTCTTTTTCTCCAAACTTATTTGCAGCGTATAGTCGGCTTGTATAGTCGTACTTCTTAAACACCACTACTTTGCTATTACGTCAAACAAACACAATATCAAGCGATGCTGAATCAAATTCTGCATCCAACACACCCAAACAGAAATGACTCACATTTTCGAGGACGAATCGAAGATAGAAAACAACTAAAATCTGGTGCTAACTTTACTTATGTAGATGAACCTATGTCAAAAACGCTTGCATGAAACCATAAACCAACTTTCTCCTCGAAAACCGTTCCCATGTACATCCTTCGACTGATAAATCCTAAAATATTTCCAGCCGCAGTGGAATAAAATTTGAGTGCTTATGATCAATCTGTTAATTCCAAAGGATTATTAAATTTACGTTTTAGCAACAACATCCCAGGATCAAAACTACGAGGGAGAATTGGAGTATGGCAAAAAGCACGGAAAAGGCGTTTACACGTGGCCTGACGGTCGCCGATATGAGGGACAATGGAAAGATGACAAGCAGCACGGAAAAGGCGTTTACACGTGGCCTGACGGTCGCCGGTACGAGGGGAACTGGAAAGACGACACGAAAGACGGAAATGGTATCGAAACTTTAACCGACGGCGAGCGGTATGAGGGAGAGTGGAAGGATGACAAGAAGAACGGAAAAGGCGTTCAGATTTCGGCCAATGGTACGGGGTTCGAAGGAGAGTGGAAAGATGGCAAGAAGAACGGAAAAGGTGTTTACAGCTGGCCCGACGGTCGTCGGTATGAGGGACAATGGAAAGATGACAAGCAGAGTGAAAAGGGCATTTACATTTGGCCCGATGGCCGCCGGTACGAGGGAGACTTGAAAGGCGACGTGAAAGATGGAAATGGTATCGAAACCTTGGCCAACGGCGCACGATATGAGGGGAAATGGAAGGATGGCAAGAAGAATGGAAAAGGCCTCTACACCTGGCCCGATGGCCGCCGGTACGAGGGAGACTGGAAAGACGATAAGAGAAATGGAAAAGGCGTTCTCATCACGTCCAAGGGCAATCGGTATGAGGGAGACTATAAAGATGACGAGATGACCGGAAAAGGCGTTTACACCTGGTCCAACGGCAATCGGTACGAGGGAGACTTCAAAGACGGTGACAGTCATGGAAAAGGCATTTTCACCTCGTCCGACGGCGGTCGGTATGATGGAGAATGGAAAGATGACAAGAAGAACGGAAAAGGCGTGCAGACTTTACCCAACGGCAATCGGTTCCAGGGAGAATGGAAAGATGGCACGAGGAACCCAACGGGCCGTCTCACCTACCCGAACGGCGCTTATTCCCAGGGACACATCAGCGACAACATGCTGGAAGGAACATACGGAGCCGTACAATGGACTTATACGTATCAATAAATGAAGAGTGATTTATTGTATCATTTTTCATCCTCCGCCACCTGTTTCAACCTTGCTGTAGACTATAATCATTTACCTACATTAGTACCACGGTGCTTCTCATCGTTTTACAAAAAAAATAAATAAGTTTCTTCCGATTCCTACTATCTTGGGTGGGTGAGTGTGGTTAAGTATAATACTAGAGATGGGTGTCGCAAGTACCCCCCTTTTTGCTCTCTGCACAAAACACATATCCACTTGTTTTTACATTTACAGCTACACACGCACTTAAGATGGTGTGCTTTGTTTGATTTGTTTTAATTTTTCTGTCATTGTTTATACAAGGAAAAAGCATTTATTCACCATCAATTTTTAAATTTTGTCGTCGGCTAGATTTAAACAACAACTTCATGTCTTTCCTTGAAGGACATCAGTGATTCTCCACAAGAATTTTATGTTCTGCCTTAAAGGACATCGGGTATTCTACAGGGGAACCTCTCGCTTTTTCCCAAAACAATCCATGTTTCTCCACAACAACTTCACCATGTTTCCCAAACAAATGCATGTGTCTCCACATGAACTTCATCTTTTTTCCCAATGAAATCTCTGTTTCTCCACGAGATCATGTTTTCCTTCGAAGGACATAAGTGATTGTGAATCACTGATGTACTTGAAGGAAAAACATGAAGTTCTTATGGAGAAACATGGATTTCGTTGGGAAAAAAGTTGAAGTTCTTGTGAAGAGACATGAATTTCTTTGGGAAGAAACATGAAGTTCTAGTGGACAAAGATGGATGAGAAGAAAGAAAGTGAAGTTGGTATAGAGAAATATGGATTGCTTCGGGAAAAAGTGAGAAGTTCTTGCGTAGAAGTCCTGATATCTTCCAAGGAAGAACATAAACTTCTTGTTTAGAATCACTGATGTCCGTCAAGCAAAAAGATGAAATTCGTGCTGAGAAATACACTTTCTGTGAGAAAAAACGTGAAGTTCTTGTGAAGAAAGGTGGATTTTTTTGGCAAAAAAGATGAAGTTGGCATGAAGAAGGATTGATTTCTTTGAGAAAGAAGGTGAAGTTGGTATGGAGAAACATCGATTATGTCGGAAAAAAACGAGAAGTTCTTGTGTAGAATATGTGGTGTCCTTCAAGAAGGAACATAAAATTCTTGTTTAGAATCACTGTTGTCTGTCAAGGGAAAACATGAAGTTCTTGTTGAGACACGGATTTCTTTGGGGAAGAAGGCGAAGTTTGTGTGGAGAAACATGTATTGCTCTGGAAAAAAGACGATGTTCCTGTGAAGAAACATAGACTTTTTGGGAAAGAAGGTGAAGTTTGTGCCGAGAAACAAAAAAAAAGCAAAAAAAAGAGAAGTATCGGGGCGCATCCCCCGAATAATTGGAATTTTTTTGTTTTTTCGAGTGATACATGATTATAAAATCTTTTTTTTTTATCAATTTCACACTACCTCAGAAAGAAATTTTGGTTTACACCCCCCTAATGTTCGGCTCCTATTTGCGGCCCTGTCAGTAATTGCATCATCCTTTAGTAAAACGTGGTCTACTGTTAAAGTTTGAATATGAAGAATACTTTTAAAAACAGATGTTAACTTTTGACGTTCATTTTCATATCGAGAACACTCTAAAAAATAATGTCCAGTGGTTTCTTCTACAGAACCGCATGTGCAAAATGGAGATGATTGTAATTTACGTCTGTAAAGATCATAATTTAATTGACTGAATTCTACTCTAAAGCTTGTAAAGTGAATCTCAGACATTCTAAATTGAATTGTGTAGTTTTAAAAGTAAAAAAGCTGTTTGTCATTCGATATTCATTCGGTAAATCATTCCAAAGTTTCTTAGCCTCCGGTAAAAAGGCTCTATCCTACACTTGCAGACCAGCTTTAGTAGAAGGCAAAAGATTGCTATTCTGACTACGAAGATTATGCTCTTGCGTATAAGTAGTATGTTGAATGAAGGAAGATGGTAAATCAATGATAGTTCTACCTCTTAATATTTTAAAAAACAAACAAAGACGATGTATTTCAAAAATGGAATATTTAACTAACGGTTCAACTGTATTTGTGTGCTTAACAGTTAGTGGAATCCATCCTAATTCTATGCACACTTTCTCATACGAAGAACCTCTCACCGTTCCACTAGCAGCTAATGCTGCATTATATTGTATTGTATGTAGTGGTCCAAGCACTTTTTGTGTACTTCCACAATAAATTACAGAGGCATAGTTTATCTGAGTAAGAATATATGAGTTGTAAATCAGCTTCAGTGCTTGACGCGACAAGAACTGACTCAGATATTTCATACCACCTGCTACTGAAGAACAACCACTAACTATTGATTGAATATGACAACTCCAATCAAGATTAGGGATAAAAAGCAAACCTAAATGTTTATGCTCAGTAACATTTTCTATCAATTGATACTTAATCTTCAAAGTGGGCAATGTAGTTACTGTATTAGAACGCGTGAAGAACATTGATACACATTTTTTAATGTTAAAGTCAAGCTTGCACTTATTAGACCAATCTTCAACTTTAGCTAAATCCTCATTCATAAACATAAAGTCTCTTTGAATATCTGAAACTTCCCGATGTAGTGATACATCATCTGCATAGAGCAGAGTTGTACTATCCAGACCATTTGGTAGATTATTAATATATATCAAACAAAGCAAAGGACCCAGAACCGATCCTTGTGGCACACCACGGGATATCAGTAACTCATCTGATGTCGAGCCTTCTACAACTGTTACAATTTTTCTATTGCTAAGATAGCTTTCCATCCACAATCATAATTGTTTAGATAACCCAGTACTTGCCAGTTTCAGTAATAAACCATCATGTGGTACTCGATCAAACGCTTTACTGAAATCTAGAAAAATTGATAAGACAGATTTTTTGTTGTTAAATGTATTAGCTATTTTATCTACAATTTGAATTAGTTGATTTACTGCTGAATGGTGAAGCATAAAACCGGCCTGATTAGGGCTGAAAAACTGATTGTTCTCTAGAAAACCGTATACATGCTTAAACACGAGCCTTTCGAAAGTTTAGAAGAGTAATAGGTCTATAATTATTAGGTAGTTGTCTATCATCCGATTTATAAATAGGACAAACATAACCTAGTTTCCAAGCATCGGGAAATTCACCTTTTACAACGAGTCATTAAAAATGTGGGTCAAGGATGACGTAATAATCGGTGCTGCCTCACGAAGCATTCTCCCACTAATACCCGGCGCACAAGCCTTTGAGACATTTATTTTTGGCAACGATTCAA